GAGAGACAAGAAGTTCAAAGAGCATTGTGTTCTGCCCAAGATGAGTGCGAGATCCGTTTTCGGATGTCGAGCATCAGCAGACTCCTTTTTGCAGCAGCTCATTGTTTTGAGTCAACTATATATATGTGTGTGTATCTATTTCTTAGTCATATTTGTATATCTATACGGGAATCAGCTCCAGCAGCAAGCACAGGTCTGACCTGGTCTTGTACCAGAGGGCCGCCAGGGGCCTGGAGGACTTCGAGAAAGCTTTGGAAGATCTCGGAGCCCGCGCTGAATGCATCCTGTGCCCCGTGGCTGCTGTGCCAAGACCCCTTGAATATGTAGTCCCCCTTAAGTAGATAGAATATTGCTTTGGGTATGTTATGATAAGATCCCCATATACCCCATATATCCCTATATTCTATGTACTTGAAAAGGACTATACCTCTCTGTTTCATGAGAGGCTCAGTGTATCCGGGTGTACTATAGATCATGGACCACATGCGGTGTTGGAGCAAGCACTTGGTGGAGGTACGCTCCGTGGCCGGGCTGTGTGCTTCCGAGATTCTACCGCGCAAGATTCATGTTGCTCAGATGACTTGGGGAGAGCCCGCCTGTTTGCAGGGGCCATTTAGAACAGACATAGTATAGCATGCTATAGTAGCTTCCATTTTCTTTTCCATCATTCCCTATAACCCCAATATATACCCGATTATACTTTAGTAGTTTTGTTTTATGAAACATTAGCAGTACATACTATGCAGTATGCTATAGTAGCTTCCTACTGCCGCGGCAGACTCCGATGCATCAAACAAAGGTGGTGCCACCGACCAGCTCCTGAAGCGAGCCGGGAAGCCCAAACGGCAACGGATTGGCTAGCTAGCTACTAGAGTATACTATATAGTATACAGTATACTATATAGCATACTGTGTAGTATACTATATAGATGGAAGCTACTATAGTATGTTGGGTTTATATAGGGATAATGGAAAAGAAAATGGAAGCTAGTATAGTATAATAGGGTATGTATTGGGGTTATATTGGGAATATGTCGACCTCAAGCTGTTTCTGCACAAAATGTGCAGAGATCCGGCCACCAAGGCAAAGAGTCCCTTGCTTGGGGGCGGACTGATCCGAAAAGACCGTGATGCACTGCTTCGGTCATTGGCGGAAAGGGGCGCCAGTGGCTCAGAGTGGGACAATCACAAAACCAGCGTGCTGTTGGTTGGGTTGGACATCCTCGTGTTGCAAAGGTGCTGTTTGCACGCAAGTTGGGCATGAGCGGTGGGAACGTGACAGCCCACCTAGTCCAGCTCTCAGAAGCCGTATATCAAGGAAGAGAGGGCTGTGAGCTACTCACGTGCATGTAGAGGCAATGCTCGATGCCCTCGACTTCAGCAAGAGGCCCTCCTTTAGGACTGCAAAGCTTATCCTGATCACCGGCAAGCCAGGGCCACGCGAATCACACAATGAAACTCTTTGATCTGCTGGACTTTAAGTAGCTTTTCGAACAGTTTGCCATGAACTTGAAAAGTAGAGGCTTAGAAAAAGAAGCCGCCCGTGAGTTGTATCCAAGACATTCCAAGACTATTGGATTGAAAAACTTGGAGTTTGGTCAAGCTGGCGCCCCCTAATTGCAAGAAATTGTTAGTTTGCTGGACAAGTGATCAATTAGCCGGCGTGAAAACCCGAGTGTGAATGTGGGAAAATACGCCTCTCTGGAAGGCCAGATGCGCCACAGCGTCTTCTCCCCTTACATCCGCAGGACGGAGTATTGTTGAGGTGCACCCCCCACACTGCAATTTATGGTAGAATAGGAATACAAAACTACCCTGATATGTGATTACCACTGCTACTGGGCGGGGGGGTCCACCTGACATATTTTAGTGTCGGGAATTTGCTCCTGTTCCTGCTGCTATTGTTGTTGCTGCAATTGAAAGCCTGCCTCAAGAAATTAAGGAAATCCGCAGCATCCATAGCATTGGCATCGGCATCAGATGTAATAGGAGCGGTCTGCACCAAAAGATTTGCAGGAGCGAGGCGGCTTGCTGGTGCGCGCGAGATGGCTTTTGGCAAGCGCGAAGGCGGCTACTGCAAGAGCAAAGCTATTTCCGCGTTTTTTTTGGAGTTGTCCATTTCGGCATGAAGCACCTGTCCGTTTGTCGCGGGACAATTTAGCACCCTGTGGAGTTGAGCACGGGTGTCATGAGTGGGTAAGTCATGGGCTTGGGATGCAAGCTTCAGCGGGCCAGGCTCGGCTACCACCTTCAGCCACCGTGGCATTGTGCGGCTTGGTGGCCATGCTTGCAGGTCCGCGACCTATCATGCCCTATTTACTTGCATGTGCACCGCAGCAGAGTGCGGACATTCACGTGGGATGCAGCGTGGCCAGGTAAAGCTGTGATGGCCACAGGCTCCAACTCACTTATTCCAGATGGTGTGGAAGGATAGGCGCATACAACAACGGAGGTGTGACTGTTTGGTAGTTGATCCTCCTGTCTTTGTTACGGATCAGTTCCGGAGCAGCGAGGGTTCTTATGGCAGGCACCATCTCTAGGAGGAGCTTCCACCTCCTCGTTGGAGTTTATGTTTCTGCTCATCTTGCCTTCGCCTCAGCAAAGGTCTTGAGGCACCCTTCCTCAGCCATGAAGTCGCTTCCTGCAGGTTCTCTGCAAGTTGGTGGAATGCCAGATGTAGATTCTTCCAGCCAAGGTGGTATTTTTCTTGTCGGTGGCAGCTTTCGCGGAGTATTCCCTGCTGGAGCCGAAGGGACCTCAGTTTGGATGGGAATCTGGGAGGGTAGCGGATCCAAATGATGTTTCTTATGTCGGTGTTACGACTAGAGAATAATCATTTTCTAGGGAGTCGTAGCCATGTGGTAAATATCACAGTATCCCCCACTCTGAAAAATGCAGAACAGGGAGGGGAGTTGTGAGATCACAATGCTTGCCTCCGCTGTGTACCAGTCAGTGCGTGCAGTCGTGGAGTTGGGCGGCAGACTCGATTTTAAGCACATGAGGTCTCTTGAGTGTCCTTGGTGAAGGGGCAAGAAATCCAGGACACTCTGAAGCCCCGGCAACATGAACATTTTGCCTAAGGTTGCGCAAAGCTGGGCTGGTTTGCAAAGTCGAACTTTGAGGATTGCGTGGCGCCAACATGGCACGTGCCGGAAAAGCTGTGCAGGTGTGTCCAGGGAGTGTTACCCCTAGCCAACTCTGCTAGCAAGCAAGGATGACAGCATGCGGCAGCGGTAGCAGCAGCAGTTAAAGAGCAACTTCCACTGAGACCGTTGATGGTTACAATGAAAGGGAGAGTAGCAAAGGCCCTCATGGCCCCTTGGGCATTTCAACCAGTCTTCAACGCAAGCAAATTAGATGGCCACATGTTGACTTCTTGCCTTCATCCTTGTTCATCTGCAGGGTGTTCTGCCATTTGATACACCCCTAGATGCATTTGGAGTTGACTGGCAACTGGCCTTACCTTGGCTGGTATGCAGCGAAGTTGTTTAGATTTTCCTGCATTTGAACTGCTTTTGGGGAAGGGCAGCCTCAGGCTGCATAAATGCATAGAGCTTGCATGAGAGGGTCCTTTTTGAGTGCATCGTAAAACTTCCACATCTTATCGAATACAGGCTTTGGTTGGCAACAGCTATGCACTTGACAGGCTAAAGGATTACATGCTTCAGGCTGAGGGTGATGGGGGTCCCCAGAGGTCATGGGGCCAGGGAATACTGGGAGATTGCAGGGGTCGTAAGGGGATAAGTTTAAAGGGTCACTTCGGACAACTTTTCTTACTCGCTGTACAACTGCGGTTGTGTCTGCGGTGCCTGCTGCGCCATGGCGGGGACAGGGCCATGCAGCGGGCGCGGCCTGGAATTTGGGCCCGAATTCTGCTTGCCGCGGCTAGAGGCACAGCAATTCCAAGATACGGAGAATGCTTTCGGCACAGGGGAATTAATAGAAGCCCTTTTTGTTGAGGTGCGCGTGGATGTTGCAACAAGGTTGTTCATATGAGAAAGAGTTGAGTGGCATCTGCCGTGATGCACTGCTGTGGCCTGTTGCAAGTATTGTAAACCTCGACGAAAAGCTGCTTCCTCCACAAGTACCTTTATGATAAAAGCCCTTCGCTAATCCTCCTTGGGGTAGGTAAAGTCATTGACACTACTATACTATAGTGGTTTCCATTTTGTTTTCCATTATCCCCTAAACCCTAAACCCTATAGTAGTTTCCATTTTCTTTTCCACTATACCTATATAACCCCAATATAACCCTAATATAACCCTATATATATATATATCTTTAAAGAGACCTAGGGTTTCCATTTTCTTTTCCATTACACCTACATATTCCCTATAATCCCTATACAACCCATTATAGTAGTTTCCATTTTCTTTTCCATTATACCTATATAAACCCTATATAACCCCAATATAACCAACCCCAATATAACCCTATTATACCCCAATGTAATCCCTATATAAACCCAATATGAGTACCACTCCCACCAGGTCTCAGATAGCACAGCGCGGCGGCTTGTCAGCGCCTCGCCGTTGCAGGGGCTGAGCCCGGAAACCCCGGGCGTCTCGAGCCGAACGTGGCAGGTGCGCCACAAGGGAAGCATAGCAAGTCATGCAGGAGGCAGTGCTTAAATTGAAGTGCCACCGCCGTCACAGCACCGGGACAGAAACACCACCTCCATCAAAGATGGTATGGAGAAATCCGTGCCCGCCCGGCACAGAAGTTGATCAGTTCAATCAGTTCCCTGCTTTTTTTTGTGGGGGTTCTTGTTGCAGCCGCCTTTGCCCGACAAGGTTGATCCTAAGGGAAGAGCAGATTTGCAGGCGTGTCGCTGTCCTGGGTCTTGTCGGTGTCTAGAGATTCGGCGGTTTATCTCAAGCTTTTTGCTTGGGATCCGCAATCTGTAGATTCTGTGTCATGCTTGAGCTACTCGAAATAGCCGTTGGGCTGCAGATATGCTTAGACATACAATTTTCGCTGCGTAGTGCCTCTGACGTCCATGGCGTCGCACGCAAGCCGACGATGTTCGCTTGCCTGCGTGATGGTAATTGCGATAACAGCCCTATGGACAAGCCCAGCATTCTGCCCTGGACGGCACGTGTCAACATCAGCCACGCAAGGACTGGCTCCTGTTTGGGGCTTTGAGCCGTCTGGGCTTTCAAGAAGACCTGGGACAGACTTGTCGCGATCCGTTGGCCCACTGGGCCTCAGGGCATCCAATGACGACAAGGGCTTTGCAGACCTGCATCGGATCCTGCGCGTGCAGGCGGTCGGCTCGGGCAGGGGGAGCTTCATCTTGGAGATGGGAGGAATCAAAGTGCTGGTGAATCCCAACTTGGAAGGCTCTTCCATCCAGCCTGAGAATGCGCACGAGGAGTTTGATTATGTTTTCCTCTCATCAGAAGAGCCAGAGTTCTTTCACCGCCCAACAGTCAACAAGATGAAGCTAACAAAGGTCAAGTTCGTGACCTCACAGAAGGCCGGCCAAGAGCTTACCAAGATGATGGTGCGAAACTTGGCAGTGCTTCAAAATGGCCCCGGCGGACAATGCCACTCAGACAGCACTGTCCTCCATGTTGAACCTTCGTACTTTGCAAACTGGCGGTTTGCCAGAATTAGGGGTACCTTTTTGGGGGTCCCCATAATAAGGACTATAGTATTTTGTGGTCTATAGCGGGTTCCCCCTGTTTTGGGAAATTACCAAGTAGATAAGCGGTTGATTCGGGAAAGTCCGGGCCCTCTAAGTTCGGGGCATTGGCGGTTCACACCGAGCAGGCTACCTGCAGGGCAAGGACAAGGCCGCTGCAGCGCTTGGCATCCTATCCGCGCCCGGTTCTGGTCAGTTCCCATGGGAAAAGCAGGACTGCTAGCTTTAATCCAAACCTGCTCTTACCCCCCCAAAAAAATGAACTTGCACTGGCAGCTTACCAGAGCATCCCACAGGGCACAGGGATCATAAGCAGGCAGCTTGCACTTAGACCGATTCTGTCAGGAGCAGGGTTTCATCTTTGTCAACTTAGAGACTGGAGCAGCGGTGGCCTATGAGGCATTCGGGCAGTTCCTCAGCAAGGGCGCATCCTCCAACAAGCCCGACATCCCTGAAGAGGCTTACCAGGTAGATTTTCTCATAACGCCCAACTTGGGAGAGGCCGCCGCAGTTTGCGCGGGACTCGCGCAGAAGGGCGCCAAGCTCCGAGGAGTTTTGCGGCTGCCAGGTGAAGGCCCCATCCAGGAGGAGGACTCCAACCCACTGGCTGCCTTAGATAAAGCCATGGGCGGCATTGAAGATGATCCCGAAGAGTTCCGCAGCTTTCTAAAGGAGAAGGGCTCGCCACTCTCCGACATCAAGCTCCTAATGGCTGAGGCCAATGGGGAGCCTGTGGACTTGAAGTTGGACTAGCTGAGAGGACCAAAGAGCTCCCTGGATCAGTGAAGCTATCTGTTGCAGCTTTAGGAAGAGGATTACGCATGCGCGTCGCGGACAAACAAATACAAAGAGAAATGCCATTTTCAGCTGCGGCATTCTGCTGCCTGCTGCATAGAACGAGACCCTATATCAGCATGCCTATGCTAGTATACAGTAGCGACAATATTTGTACTGGTCATACAAGTACTAAGGTCCCACCGTAGAAACGAGACTAAACGGTCAGAATCTTGTCCAGGAGTTGGCGGCCGTGGCGACGCAGCTGCCTGACATCCGTTGGCTTGGAAGGCAGATCCTCATGTGGTGCGGAAAGCCTGAGGAGGAGACCTACATTCATGTGGATTGTACCATATTGTACCAGTTTTTCCTGTTGCTACACGTAAGGTCAACTTGATAAGTTTTCCCTGCACTCCTCCATTCGGGCTCCAGGTCCTCATGCGGAGAATTCAGGCAACATCCGTTTAGGTCGTCTTTGTTTTTGATACGGGGCGATCGAAATTGAGCTCGAAAGGGGCGTGATGATTGTCACATCGCTCTTACTGTCGAGAGCAATTCAGCCGCTGCAGGCAGCACCATAGGTCCTGTTTCTATTCTTAGGTTCCATTACCTTCGTTTGCCGCGGACTTTTTGTCCTCGGCGCAGAACAATACCAGTTCCCGCCGGGTTTTAAAAGGCAGGGGGTGGTGGGGATGACTTTGTCCTGTTGAGAATTAACGGTACAAGTTGCTTCAGGTTTTTGGAGGGTGGGGCGGGGCAATTTGAAGCGGCCTCACCCGACCTCAGCCTAAATGGCAGTTTATATAGGGAATAGTAGCAACATGGCCTTAAATTGGGAATTGAAATAATTCTAAATTACTTTGGGTGGGGGGGGTGGGGAGGGGATGATTTCGTTCTGTTGACAATAAACAGCGCAAGTTGCTTGACGGTTTTGGGGGGGCATTTCGTCTTCTTGTACGCTGCTTCTTTGGGAAGATGTTTCAATCCGCAATTGACACAGTCGGCGGCACTTTGCTGCTCCAGCCTGGCATGGGGCGTCGTGGTTGCGCTCTATCGTTGGGTACTGCGATTTTCGTTTTCTGGCTTTGGATCCAGTACTTCGGGAGCTTTTTCTGTTTAAGGGCACGCTTTCTATTCTTGCGCAATCACACGTGTGTCAGGGACATCATGTCCTCGTGTTCGGAGTGTGTTTCAGGGAACTGCTTCGTCTGCAAGGTGCTCTGCCTGCTCGCTATGTGCGCGTGTTCTGAGCACGCCATGCGAGGATGGTAGTCTGATGCAATGTGTGCATCGCTTGCTGCTCCGCAAAAACTGACGTGGGACGCCCTTCCGCTCAATCAGCACGCAGCCGAAGAGCTGAGAGGGTTGCGTAAAAGTTCCACCCATGTTTTGTAGTTGCTTCTGCCAGCTCGCATGCAAATTCCTTGCACTTGCCAATGAAATGTACACTTAATAGCCGCCAAGCGCGGCAAACGATGGGTCTGAAACCTAGTGTTAGTGTACATGTCATAGTCGCTAGGAGCCTTTGCCATTCCCCAGCTCCAGGACTTGTGGAATGACTTTGCCGTCCTCCACCAGTGCCAGACAACTGATCTGGAGATTCCCGGTCACCGCGACTACTTTGGGGAGATGCCTGGCATAAGCCATCATGAGCCAGATTCGGTTCGGGCAAAGCTTCCAGAAGGAAGTGCTTTGTTAAAGAGGCGTTGACGTTAAACTTTGACATACTTTGACCTTTCGGCATCTCATACAGACAGACACAGAGAGAAAGACAGACAGTCACAAGGAAAGCTCTCCGATTCGGCGGTGTAGACATCATCCTGCGGACCCTCGCCCTCTTCCAAGCAGATGAGCGAGTGGGCCATCACGGAATTCTGGACATTTTTTCGGAGCCCTTACATGGAAGATTTCGATCTATTCTGCACTTCGCACCGAGAACAGAGTTCTTTCTGCGGCCGGACAACTTCCGAAGCTACATCCTTCCCAGACTAGAAAGAGGCAGGACCCTCACGCCGCAACAGATCCGCGGCTGCAAGAAGCGCTGAACCCCAATGTGCCTGGGAGTTCTCAAGATGATTCTCTAAGTATTGCTTCAGAGGGACCAGGGTGATCCGCAGGATTCCCATCGGTACCCAGACTCGTACACCGCGCAATCTCAACTAAACATGACGAGTCTCCCTTACAGGGCTGCTGCATGTACTACCTTCATGCATTCCGCACCCGTTTTGTAATGCATGAAGGCAGCACAAGCAAAGATATTTGAAAAGAGCACTCAGGATTGCAAACACAATGTGCCTCGGCAAGCACTAAGCCACAGCAGCCACGCATGGAACAGCATGCTGGACAGCGAGTTTGGAAGCTGATTGAAGGGCATGCCAAAAAAGAGAAGCAAAAGGAAAGTAAACAAAGTGCCATGTTGATCTATTTGGCAGCGAAGTAAACAAGAGCCGTTTGTTCTTCTGAAATAAACGAACCACCCAGGCTGGTCATGGTCTCACCCCCGCAGACTCCATTAAAGCTTGGAGCATTCCAGTTGGTCACGCAGCGCCGCTTGGAGTACATAATGGTTCTGGCACCTGTGGGGAATTGTTTCCAACTCATTGGGCATGCATGCCTGCTGCTTTGAGGAGCAAGCTTGCAAAAGAAACAGGCAGTTTCTCAAACAATGAGCTTAGAGCACGTCATCCAAGGTTTTGGAGCCTTCCTTGCAGCGTCCGTGGCCGACATGGCCATGTGCTCCTTGGCATAAAGACTGCCCAGATGAGAAGCTTCAACTGATGCCACTGCAGTCTGGAGCTCTACATCATACATAACCAGAAGATCCCTGAAAATGCTTTCTGGGGCTGCGGGTTCCGGCGAAAAAAGGGAGACGCAGTCACAACATGGTCCGAGGTCTTTGCTGCACGTCGACCGGGTGGGAGGAGGTCTTCTGCAACGCAGACATTCGTGGGGCTGCACGCGTCCTGTGGCACATATGTGAGGTGGGGCGTCCAAACCAGAAAGCAAAATACCATCTACATGAACCTGTGAACAAAACGCAGGTTGTGAGCGCACTCTGTGCTTCGAGCCAAAGGCTAGAGGATCTCAAAGCTGTCCCATGCCCAAACCAAAAGCCTACACAAGCTAAAAACCCGACAAACACGAGAAAGCAGAGACCAGCAAGCACAGGACGCGGAGGCTCCAGCTTTTCCACCTGCTGCTCGGGGCTCCCGCAGCTATGCGGAGATGTTGCTCGAGGCACCTGACATCTCATTGGTGGAATTCAAGTTATGTTGGGGTTATAGGGTATATATTGGGGTTACATTGGGGTTATAGAGTATATATTGGGGTTACATTGGGGTTATAGGGTATATATTGGGGTTATATTGGCGTTATAGGGTATATATTGGGGTTATAGGGTATATGTTGGGGTTATATTGGGATAATGGAAAATAAAATGGAAACTACTATGTGTCATTTCAATTCCATGTTTCAATTACAGGGGACTGCTGCACGAGTTTCAGAACGTGGGAGAGCTGGGTAGGGAAGTGCACCATCTCATTCAGTGAATCCCGAATGAACGGGAAGAATGGTGGTATGACCATTTGAAATAATATACAGTAGTAGTTTGCATTTTATATTCCAATATCCCAATGTAACCCCAATATCTACCCCATTATCCCAATACAACCCAAATATATACCTCATAACCCCAACATAACCCCAATATATGCCCTATAACCCCAATATAACCCAATCTCTGGGAGGCACAGAACCTCCAGCTTGTCCGTAACTTGGACGATTTCGAGCTTGAGCTGGAGGGAGCTGATGCACAGGACACGTTTATATTGGGGTTACATTGAGTTTAGGGCTTAGGGTTTAGGAGTTGTATTGGGGTTATAGGGTATATATCGGGGTTACATTGGGGTTACAGGGCATATATTGGGGTTATATTGGGATAATGGAAAAATGGAAACTACTATGTATTATTTCAATTCCTTGGCAGCTGAATCCGCACGGTCTTTGCTTCAGCTGCTTGGATGCCTCGGCAAGGATCCCCTGCTCACCGAAAACTACTCCTTCACATCGCTGGTGCCGATCCCAGGCACTGATGTACGCAGGGCCCAAACCTCACAAAAACGCGCTACTCAAGGAAGGAACGCAAGCGTCGCTTTTGGACGCAAAGTGCAAAAATCGCAGCAAGCCCGGAGTTCTCATCTTGTATTGTAGCTGTCACGACTGCTGCTACCGTGGCTGCTGATTAGATAGTAGAAGTAGCACCACCGCCACCACCACCCCCACAGTTTTTTCTATCCTTCTTCCTCTTCTGGTCCCTCCATTTGCGGGCTTGAAGCTATTCCTATCTCTCCTCCTGTTGACGTCCTAGTCTTACTCCCTCCTGCTCATCCTACTACGATGACAGCTACTAATTACTAAGCTGAAGAAGCTGCTGCTGCTGCTGCGGCGGCGGCGCTCTGCTGCCAATAGCAGTAGTGGTGGTAGCAGTTGCAGGCAGGTGGTCATGGTAGCAACAGTTGTTGGAAGCACCCCTTGCAAGAGCAGAAGCAGCACCTACGGCTGCAGCAACAGCAGCATCCAGGACCACCAGCATCAGCATCAGCATCAGCAATGCCCAACAGCAGCAGTAAAAAAAAGCAGGACCCACCACCAACACCACAACCCACCTAAAGTATTAAGAGGCACCCTGATCCCAAGGTGCAGCGATGTGTTGCCCGCCGCGCCTTCGAAAATGCGGGGTTGCAGCTTCTTTGCGAGGCACCCGACTCGCTACAGAATTTATTGGGGTGAGCAGATCAAGACAATGACACGGGGCTATAGTCTCCCTTAAGTTGGTAGAATATGGGGTATATGGGGATCTTGTTATCATAAACCCAACGCCATATTCTATCCACTTAAGTTAAGGGGGACGATAACATGAATTGGGGCTTAGCAGGTCTTACCTAGGCTGAAAGAGCAGTTCCATCAGTTTGTGGGGCTAAACAGCTTTCAATGCGCCACTGCGTGTCTATTCGAAGTTGTGCCGCATTGGTGTGTCTCTAGGCCATGCAGTCGGCACAACATGGCACAACATAACGGAGAGAGACCGTCAAGGATGAACAGCGCCCGTGCTCATGCTGCTAATGCAAGCCCTCTTTCCATCAATAACGGCATCTAGGCACTCAATGGACAGCTAGTGGGGCAGGCACAAATTCAATTTACTTCGATTCGCTAGATATCAAGAGGCGCTCTTCCTCATGTCAAAAGTGGAGTGAAAGCCAACGCTTACTGCCCAGATAAGACTCAGGATATGCGACCAACTTTCAGGGAGTGGCACACCATCACTTGAAGGATGGCAAGCTAACCCTGTGCAAGCCCTACTATATAACGACCTTCTGCCATCTTCTGCCTTACGGAATCTACTCGAGCATGAATGCACCCCAAGTTTTGACCCTTTTTGGGGTTCTGGGAACTCAAGCTCAGGCAGTTGGCCTGAGTTTCCAGGCTCTGCCAGAGGGAGCTGAGGAGGTCCCAGATCAACGATGCTTAGGATTTGGAGTTTAGGGCTGAAAGCCAGGGGGGGAGAGGGGGGGGTTGGGTTTAAGGGTTGATTTAGGGTTTAGGGTTAGGGTTGATCCGCAAACTACCATACACCCGCTTAATGAGGAATCACAGCGATTCGGAGTTTTCAGGGGGTGTTGTCTGTTACTGTTCAAAGTCTGTTCCTTTTGATAGACCGCGGAGTCCAGACGCCTTGAAGGGCAAGAGCGTGGGCAGAACTCGTGGGATTTTATATCCAAGGCTGGTAAATGTTGGAAAGTAGTCCGGTTCGAAGAACAGCTCGGAAAGGAACTAGCTGCCACTGCTCAGGTGCAAGGTGCTGGCTTGCAATTCGCAACCCATAAGGAAGAATTTTGTGTTTTGAAAGGCTTGTGAGTCATCCTCATGTACTCCTAGCCAGGAAGCTCTAAAGCACGCGACCGAAGAAGAAAAGCGGGCGATCACCGCCCTCGGCTTGACTTGCACGCACCTGGCAGAGGACTGACGCTGAGGATCAGGAATTTGGGGGAGGGCAACTCCTGATGAAAGGAACATGTGAGGATAGGATATCTTCAGGTCTTGGCCTCACGAGGGCAATCCCATGCCAGCATGCTTTGAATTTATTCAGGTGATGAGCGCCGCTGCGAGTACCTGTGCTATGATTGATTTGTTTGTCATGATCACATTTGGTGTTGGTCATGTCCCGGCGCAGGACGTTCGTGCGTCAAAGAGAAGCAGGGAAAGCTGAGCGGTCATCGCAAAAAAGCGAATTGCTTGATGCAGCAGAAGATGGGAAGTTTGGACATTTCTTGCTGGTATAAAGATGCTCACTTCTTAGTGGGGACATCTCTTGCCTGAAGCCAAGGCAAGCTCCTAGACTGGATACTTGTAGCAGGTTGGATCAAGAATCGTTATCCACTCATGTTATGTCGTAAGGGCCAATACTGCAGAGGTCTTCTGAAAGGCATTTAGAGTTCGTCTCCCTGTGCATTTGTGCTGAAATACTTGTCGTATGCTTAGAACGGTTTAGACAGTGCTTACTTGCACAAAGCCATCTGCCATCTGAGAATTCCTGCGTAATCATGTCCATCCATGAGCAGAAAATCATTGTTTGAAAGAACCTGTTTTCTGGGAATTAAGAAGGGCTTCATTTTTGGGAATGGGGGACGACATTTAAACCCGCTGCGGGGCATTCTTGAGACCGAGGACTTATTGCTGTGATGGTAGGGGCCGGGCTCATTGAATGCAGGAATGGACATATGCAGAATAGACTCCGGTCATGATACCTGCATGATCCGGCTTTATTCCTCCATGAGCCATCGCAGGTGCTGGGCGCTTGTCAGCACATGATCTCAATGTGATGGCGCAGACCTTCTGGCACGGCTCTGAGTACACAGCTGTCTTGTGATGGGCTTGTAATCCTCCAAGACCGCGGCCCCAGAACCAAGTTGCAAACATGTCAGCCGCCATAAGGGAGAGGCGAGGGGAAGGCAAAATGTATTGAAGCGCTTGTCGCAACACACAGGATACGTAGAATTTGGTCGTCCTCAACTTGATGGGTCCCTGGAAGAGGGATCCTAGAATTGTGCGCATAAAGGCTGTCAGAAAAAAAACCATGTGAGGGTTTCCAATACTTGGGGATCCAGGAGTATGAGAAATTCGCATCTCAATTGGATCCCCCTGTTTATAGCCACTCCCAGTTATAGAGAAAAGACAAAGTCAGGCCTGAGCTCACCGCAGATGAGCTCAGAGATCTCTTCCAGACAGTCTGCCGCAATCGGTCAGGCTTGGATCAAAGTCAGAGCGTGGGCAGGAAACCTTCGCAGTGTTTCTGCAGCTAGTGACCATCTTAGCAGTACGAATGGTTGTACCCATCAAAGAAGGGACTCCTGATGGATTTTGTTGAGAGCGCCAAAGGAAGCCAGACTTGGCATGGATGTCAATGGATGTTAGGTAGACAGGAACATGTTGTGAGACTTGCTTGTATACATGAGCCATCCTCAAAGATCTCGAAGTTTGTCAGGAAATTCAGGCAGTCCATACTGGCCGCTAGGAAAACCCAAGCACGCAAAAGCAGTGCGATTCGCATAGCCGGGTTCTTGAGGAGCATGTTACGCGTCAAAATACACCTGAACTCGCATAACTTACAAATGATGATCTTTTAATCTTCGATAGTACCTCACAATATTCGAAATAGGGGCATGCTGAGAGGACCTGAGTATCCCTAGAAATTATACTTCGGGCTGTTTTGGAAAATCAGGAGTACCAAGCTTTCAGGCTTCTGGGGGCAATCCCAACATGGCGGTAGATTTGAGGGTTTCCCAAGATTAGGGGAACCTCATTGAAAGTGCCCATACCAGGGACTCTAGCATTTTGAGGTCTATATTGGGGTCCCTCTATTTTGGGAAACTTCCAGTGGGACCTAGGAATTGTAAGATGATGATTGAATCGAAGGGGCCCTGATTCATTGTAGGAGTTGTTTTGAGATATTCCCACAGCGTGCAGGCTACATCGAGTTGCCAGAGTTCTGCGCGGCTTTGGGCTTCGACCCACGCGCAACTCCTGCCTCACAAGAGACGGCAAGGCACTTCAGCTGCAAGAAGTGGGCTTTCATATGAGATGTGCTGGTCTTACTACTTTGGTTGCCCCTGCTGGTTCTATGCCTCTGGATGTTTCAGTGGGCGTCCTTCAAGCCTGTACATGGTGAGAACGGTCCTGAAAATCTCATCCCTACTGCTTCCCTTTCATTGTTATGATTTCCCTACTGGTTCTTGGTAGGGAGTAAAGGAATATAATATATAGGGATTATAACTACGGGGATTCCATTCCCTACCAACAAGTAAGTAACAATCCGCCATGCGGCGAGCTTTTAACATACGTGGATACAGAAGACTTGAAGTTGTATGCAACGTTCTGCAGCCTCCAAAACATCGCTGCCCCTTGTCAGAGGGGGAGGTATCGCCATCTTGCCAAACAAACAGTGAAGACAGCTTGAACAGTTCATCCAACACTGCACACATACTCACACTCTCATTGTTTGGTAAATGACCTTTTCTTGCACACTGCACAAAACAAAATCCACAGCCTGCGACCAGAGGTCACTTGCTCAGCTGGATGGCGCCTCGCAGGCAGGATCTTAGTCGAGCTCGTGCCATCTTCCATTTTTTCTACGATTGCAGGGTCATTTGGGCACTTGTTTCTAATATTCCTGAAGTAGTCATTTTGCACAATAGGGCATCTGCCCATGTGACAGCGCGTGGTCGCCAGGTGGTGCTAGACCGAATCCGCATTTCAATCCTGGAGGCTGCTGGGGGGGACAGCGCAGAGGTGTCAGCATCAGGGAAAGAAGGCAATGGACTCGCTTTGTCACTAGCTGTTCCACCCCGCATCCCAGACCTTTTTGAGATTGGAGCTGTATGAGCTTGTGGCTTCCGTGTCTTGGGGAGCGTTGGCGTCAAGGCCGTTCACTTGCTTTCGGCGCCGATGACTCACTTTCCAAAAGAATGGTTTCTGGCTAAAGCTGGGAACAAGCAGTTGAGATCCGAGTCACAGCGCACTACCCTGAGTAGAATGTACTATAGCATACTATGTAGTATATATTGGGTTATATTGGGATAAAGGAAAGAAGCTATTATACCAGTATTGTAGTTTCCCTAAACGACCCAAATATAGACCCCGAAATATTGTAATCCTTATTATGGGGGTCCCCCAAAAAGATACCACTAATTTTGAGAAACCCCTAATCCCTGTAAACTACCCTATACCCCCAGTTTCCATGTCATTTTCCATCTTTTCCATTTGATTCTCCATTTTTGGGGTAATATCCTTATAGCCCCCCAAATGGTACCCCTAATTTTTGGAAACCCCCAAACCCTAAACCCTAAACAGCAGTTTCCATGTTCTTTTCCATTATCCCTATATAACCCCTATAAGCCCCTAATAAGGTATAGTTTATGGGTGGTTGTCAAAATTATGGTCCCTTTTCGGGTACCCTAAATATTAGGTGCCGTATTATGATAGGGACCCAAAAAGGGACCATATATTGGGCTTATGGCCAAAAGCCAGCCATGGAATTCCTGGTGGTGGACTCGGCTGGTAAGGAGATCTGCCGTTGTCTTTGGCACAAGGACACCAACGCAAATGAGCTGGCTACTTGGTATACACTATAATATGGTTCCCCCTTACTTAGATGGAATATGGGGTATATGGGGATCTTTTTTTTATAATATACCCTACGCCATATTCTACCAACTCAAATGAACTGGCTACTCGGACTCTTGCTTGTTCAGAAGGGGTCAAAGTGAACTTGTTGACTCCAGGTGTCAAGTGTCAAGGCCCCAATATGGGCACTCGGTTCTTGTCCTTGCTCTTAGTAGCTTAGGCAGTCTCCCTCTTCCGAGCGGTCGGCGCTGCCAAGCCTGGTCCGTTGCTTACTCTGCAGGGAGTGGCCGTGTGTCATTGCAACTCCGTCTGGGGTCAAAATAGATAGCCTAAAGTCCTAATCCTGAAGGACTTCAATGCCGGCTTTTCCACAACCATCGCGAAGTGACTCCTAGCGGCAGGGAGCAGCCATAGCATGGAAAGGCTCAGGGTTCGGCTTTTGGGATTGGGTTTCTGCTGAAAGCTCCACCGTCCAAATGAAGGAAGCCATACCATCACCTCTCCATGCTCAATGTCGCGCTCGGCATCTTGGCTGGCAATGGATGAGGCCTACCAATCTTATAGCCTTGCATAGTTGGACAGCTGTTCACGGCCCTGTTCACCTAGTAAAATCGGGGGTGGGTTCCAATGTAGACCCCAATATGCTATCATCTACCCCTGGTTTGTCCAAGGTACTACACTCCAGGTCGTGTGGACTGGCAGCTGTGGGGCCCAGACTCTCCGGCATGAGAGGGCATTCGCGGCCCTGAAGCACATGGATTGCAAGCAGCACGCCTGTTCTCCTCTTCTCAGTTTGGGTGCAAGGAGAACTCCCATTTTGCAAGCACCAAGACTTGCTTGTTGGTATTGTCTTGGCTCACCAAACCCTAAACTAAATAGAACCCAAACCCTACATCCTGAGCCCCGAATCCCTAACCGTAAACGCCGTAAACCTGCCGGCACGTTAAAAAGCAAAACACTTATAGCTCTGTGCTTGCGGACCCACCATGCCCCACGAAATATGCTCTGGCCAAGCTGAATGGTGGCAGCCTAGGTCAGATGTAGACCGATCTGTGGTCACCTGGGGTGATCAGGAGTGGGGTGGAGATTCCTCCAAAGCCCAGCGGCAGCTGATAAAAGGTGCTGTCCAGGCAAGGCCGACACTGTCAAGATCCTAGAACTTCTTAGGGCAAGCTGGTTACATTCGTGGCCCAAGACTCGATAGTTTTGTGGACGGATGTTTGGGAGGTGTTTGGAACCTATGGCGCATTTGACGTGGACTGGGCGACCGAAGACGCGGAGGACGAGGATGCCGAGGATGAGGGGCCCAAAGAGACGAAAAGAGCTTTTGCTGCAACGAAGGCACGGAGCATGCCCTCAATCGACTCTGGAGTGTTAATGTTTTGCACTGGCGGCCACAGCCAACTGTTCAAGTTGAACAAATCTATGCTCGAAAGATTTCGAGAGCATACTTCGCGGAGACGGTAGCGCGATAGAAAGGGGAGGTAAGTCAAACCTTGGACCCATTACTAGTATCATTATTGTTACTACTATTACTACTGCGATTACTATTACTATTCCTATTACTATTACTTTTACTATTACTATTACTATTACTAATATTTTTTTGTTGCCATTATAGTATTTTTGAGCCAGAGACTGGCAACTTGACGCCTGCACGCTGGCAGGCCAATGGATCGGGCCTCAGTTGATCAATCCTGGCCTGTGTCTTTTGCAACAATAATAGTGATAGGGATAGCACTAGTAATAGTAATAGTAATCGTAATAGCTTCAACAGAAACATCCGCCAGACAGCCACTATTGTCATTGCACTTTCTGCTACTTGCAGCATGGTACATGTTTGAAGAGGATGCTTTCCAGTCCCAGGGCCTTTAGCCCTTCGGCAGAGGCAGCAGGATAACAACAACAATAATAACAATGACATTATTAATAAGATGAGCACCAAAAAATGGTTTTGGTAATAATGGTCTTAATGCTTCATCATGTCGCCGAGGTGCAGTGGTGACCTGGGGAGATGGTCCCTGGGCGGTTGTTGAAGAACCGTTTCCCATATGTTGCATCAACCTCTCCTCCAGCAGAAAGGGCCAATGATGCGTGTCTTTAGGTCCTATGAGGCGCATGACGGATAGGTATGAATGGGTTGAAGGACCACAAGCAGGCTCCACAGACTTCAAGGGAAGATGTCAACACCATTTTCACAAATGGTCTAGGTGAGTTCGGTGGAGACTCCTCAACGGTCGCTTCTCGTCTGAACCTGTTGGGTGAAGCTATCGTGTGTCATTCCAGGGGCATGCTTTGGATTACCCCCACCGGGCATCGATGGCTCAAAAGCTGAATTCGTCCAGGCAAGCCAACTACGAAAAGGTGTGAGCCACGTTTGTGGATCCTATGGTGCGTTTGCGGCCGTGAAGGAGAGCAATCCGGTTTTGTGTCACCCCTAAAGGTTCCGAGTGTGAAATGCTCTTTCGCCAACTTCCGATATCAGGCAGCAGGTTTCATTCCGAGAGCATTGGTCAAGTCATGTCTGATGCGCTGGTGCTGGACCCTCGTAGAAACACATGCTAACGTCCTGAAGGGGCGAATCGTTGCAATGCAGAAACGACACTTCCAGACCTTCAGCAAGCGCCAGGAGGATGGCTCCGTGGTCACTTGGGGTCATCCGGACTTTGGTGGTGTGTCCTCGGAGGTGGGCCTCAACAGACAGACCTTGCACTGAAACTGGATCCGTGACTTTGAGACTCTGCAAGGTGGCCGGCCAGCTCAAAGAGGGGGTCATCTTGTGGCGCGGCAAGCAAGAGTTCACAGCGCAGTTTTGAGTGTTCAGAGCAAGCTTACCTTGGTGTGCAAAAGCTAAAAGCTATCGTCCTTCTCATATAAACCCAGGCTGCGCGCCACACGAAGCGCCTTTGCAGCTGCTTGACAGCGACATGGGATTTTGGGGTGGGGGTGTTTATCTCAATTTATGGTCCCCTTACTACACCCCTTTGCGAGTAGTAGATGGTTCCCAGGAAGGTCACAAGACGACCCAAAAAAAAGCGAGAGCGAAGTACTCCAAAAATGTTGAATACAACTATGACTACGCACGCAATTATCTTGACTACTATTGCCATTACACTTACGATTCTATTTGTTATTACTACTACTGTCACTATTACTGTGACTGTTTTTTGCTATTATTGTTGCTGGTTGTCTATGGCCCAGGCATGGCTTAAGCGAGGCAAAACAAGTCATCCCAAAACATTGTCACAGTTTAAACTCTCCCTGATTAGGGAGTGATAGCCGAGTCTTGGGGTCTGTGTGGATATGTTAGGGCGGAAGCTAAAGGTGGGGTTTTGAGCAGATGAGTTTGGTCATGGGTTCAGTCATCATGTTCATATTTACTCAGCAATGTGTGTGTGTGTGTGGATCTTCACATCTTCCCTGTATCATCCCAGAACAAATCCTACCTAGAGCTATGGGCCTTTGCAAAACCCTAATGTGCAGCCTTTACTCACAACACCAAAACTCTACAACCCCAAAGCCTAAATCCAAAACTCTGGCCATGCTGCCTCAGCCCTGCAAGTGGGAAAAAACAAAACAGCAAACTGCAAAGAAGTGCGATGTACTGGCTGAATCTGTACAGCCCTGAACCCTGAAGCCTAGACTGTGAACCTAAGATCCTGGAACTCAAACCATGCCTTCAGAGCGATGCGCCTGCTGAAACTGTGAACCTTAAACAGCAAACCCCAAACTCCTCGAAGTAAGGCGTTGAAGGCTGATGGATCGGTGTGTACCTGGGGGGATCCTGCTACAGGGGGCGATGCCGGTGAGGCGAGTTGAAGGTTTGGGGTCGGGGTCTAGGGTTGAGATTGGGAGTTCTCATCCCCTCCCCCTAATCGTTTAGAATTCATGAAATGGAAATTGTGATCATGCACTCTGGAACAGTATGAAGTCTTCGCTGTGCTTACATGTTTCAGGGGGTGCATTGACCTTTCCGAAGCCGAGCTCCAAACAGGCTGAAGGGCATCTTCGCTGCGTGAAGCTGCTTCTGGCAACCTACGGCGCCTTTGCAGCTGAACCTCGGCTTCAAGGCCTCTGGATGTGGACCTCCCACCCAGTAATCGCGACTATAAGGGATAAAAGTAACTGTTTAACGGTATTAGGGTCCTCCTATATTCCCATTATGCCACTATTAGAGGGTGGGGGGTCCACATACATTGTTGAAACAGCAAGTTTGCTTTGCTTAGACAACCCGGGCATTGCTATGAAATTGTTGTGGTGTCTTCAATTTCTGCTTAAGACTTCAGGTGAAGAGCGACGGCGCTGTTGTGACCTGGGGAAGCGAAGATTTAGGCGGCAAGCAGCTTGACAGTGCAGGCAGGCTGCGTCAAGGACACGCCTCTTGGTTTCTGCAGCCTTCCTGAAGCTTAGCTACACCCGAATTGGTCACTATGGCTTTACAGGGCACTCAAGGCATTGCCGCAGTTGAGTTAGGGCCGGAATTGAGTCTTGGGCGTTGACACAGGGTCCTGCAGGAGTCCACGATGTTTGCAGCAACTTTGGCGCTTTTGCGGCTACCAGAGATGACGGCACCGTTGTAGCTTGGGGTATCCTGGCATCTGACTAGTCAATCGATTAATGCAGAAGGGAGCACACGTACTCAACAGGCCTAGGCATATTTCATAGCTCGTGTGACTATCCATCCCAAGCTCACACCTGCCTTTTACCATTTCAGGTGATGCAAACTGCGGTGGCGACACCTTCAACGTCGCGTCAGACCTCAAGGATGTACAGACGACTGGCTGCAGTCAGTCCCAACGCAAGTGCCACATCCAGCAACGTTCACCACAAGTACTTGATTGACCAAGGCAGGTGTGTGGTACTTACAGCGCCTTCGCTGCTTTGATGAAGGATGGCACTGTTGTGGCGTGGGGGGATGCCGACTGGGGTGGCGACACCTCAGCGGTCATGGAGGAGTTGAAGGGAGTCAGTCAGGCCACACCGCGATTCCGCTCGTAGATGTTGTTTAGCAGCCAGCCTTGATACACCATAACCATGCACCCTCTTTTAGCCCTTCAAACGGCTAAACGGGACGTGTCATGTGCTGTGCTCGTCGTTGACTTGGTCTCGCAGGTGTGCAGTACGTATGGTGCTTTTGCTGCTTTGTGGCTTAGCTGCGCCCAATGGTCTTTCAGCTTAGAGGATCTTGTTTAATTGGGTAGGTTCATTGACTGCATGCCATTGCCTCAGAAAGGAGAAATGACGGCTCTGTCATCACATGGGGTGACGCTGCATGCGGCGGTGATTCCTCGGCAGTAGCCAGCAGGAGTTCAAGTGGCATTTTGAGCACACTGCTGCCTTGAAGTAGCGGTCTCACCTACTGTTTGAGACCAGATTTCGAGCAGCGTTCTGTGCAAACAGGATACGCAAGCGAGTCTTCCAGCTGTGCAGCACATACGGAGCTTTTGCTGCCACAAAGACAGCATCTTGGCCATGGCAATTTCAGAAACATTTTCCAATATTCCTCTTGGAAGGACAGTGAGGGCATAAGCCTCCGTTGCTGTTCGGGTTGTGCTGCTGATTCAGTCCCAGTCGCGGGAGGACGGATCCGTTGTCACCTGGGGCGACGCAGATTGGGGAGGGAACGCCGCGTCCGTGCAAAACCAACTCTACATGATCTCCTGGGTTTCGGGAACCTTTCGCGCCTTCCTGGAACTGCGGGAGAGTGGCACATTTTATCTTGGGGATGATGTGCCTTGACCGGGGCGAAGCAGCTTTTGGTTTTCTGTCGGGCTGCTTCCTTTTCAAAACAAGCCACTGCCCTCCCCGAAGGCTTTTGACAGCAGCGACGCCAGTTATGACGGACTCCTTGTAGGAGTAGCCAAAATATGTGGCACTGGTGGAGCATTTGCAGCTTCCAAGGCAATGGGGCCTCTGGCACACCGGTGGATTGAAATCAGTAGCAAGCTTGAAGCCTTTCTTGTTTTTCATGATGGCAGGTGGATGGGTCGGTTGTCACTTGGGGAGACCCAAAGTGCGGTGGCGACTCTTCAAGAGTCAGACAGGAGCTAAGAGGAGTGGTGGAGGCTCCATGGCTGATCCGCAATCACAGTTGAACAGCTTTACTTGTAACTTCATGTCCAACGTGTTGATGGTGATAATGTGTCGGGCCAAAATGCTCCTGATGGGTGTCCCTAAAGATGTGTCCCGTTTAGCATCTCCTCAGACTCTCCAACTACACCCCTAGGCTCCCTAAGGTATCACCAAACTGAAAATTCACAAACATGAACACGGCGCCGAGGTTTGCCACACAGCAGGTGCATTTGCCGCACTGAAGGCAGATGGTTCTGCTCGATGCTCAGACAAATGTTGAATGTTTAGGGACGTGCTTCGCCAGTTCTGCACAAGCCGAGACTAGTTTGCTAGCTATGGTCCAGACTCAGACTCTAGACAGCTCCTTCAGTTGCCAACCTGCAAAATAAGAACTGCAAGCGGGTCAGTGATCAATCCCCATCGGCCGGATTCAAAGGTTGTTGCGTGGGGCGACCCAGCATGTGGAGGCGACAATTCAAGCGTGCACAAGCTGTGCATCTAGGCAGCAAATTGAAGTTAAGGTGCAGTAAGAAGCTTCCCACACCTGCCTGTCGAGAGAGCAATCGTGTTCAGCACTTTCCTCACCTTTCAGGCAAAGCTGCAAGACAGATGTTCGGACTCTCGGCTGAACTGCAAGAGGCCCACCCTTTGCAATGGCACTGGCATGTATCCACTGCGATTCTACTCTGTATTTGAAGCTCAGGATTGTACAAGGTGTTTGCATGCATCATGGAAGATGGCACCCAGGCTGCAAGCATGTCATTCTGTTCACGTTGGGTTCCTGACGCGTACTGACTAGTGAAGTGCTGCCAGCGGAGATTGAGTCTGAGGATCCGTGTCAATTTGGGGAGATGACACGCTGTGCAAAGCAGCTTGACAGTGAAGTCTTGCAAACTCTGCAAAATGAGTCGGACCACTTCTCTGACCTCGGAGGACATGACACACCTACAAAACATTACTGCGGTGTCTGGCACTGCCAAAGCATGCGCTGAGACTTGGCAAGCACGAGATGTTAAATATGTTAAGTTGCCAGACGTTTACACCTGGCAGTATTGCATGACTGCCAAGACACTAACCAACAGGTCTTGCAGAAGCGGGCGAACTAAAAATTGTCAGCTGACCTGCTGGCCAGCTGCAGTTTAGTCAAAAGCTGACCCACAATTTTGAAACAAGCAGCCAACCCCTACCAACCCCAAGTCTTTGGCAGTCAAGACAGCTTCCAAAGCAAGGCGATTGTTGCAGATGGGTCGGCATCTTGCTGGAATTAAGTTTTGGTACTTTAGGTGTCTGCGCGGATGTGTGAAATTAGCTTGATATCTTGTACTAATGTGTGTGAGACGAGGTGGTGGCATGGGGCGAGGAAAGGTGGGGTGGCGACTGCTCGGAGGTTGCTTCCCAGCTTCAGGACAGCTGGACACCTGCAAGCAGTGAAGCACCCAGCGGAATCGGCCACAGCACTTCCATGTTGAAAGGAGGTGCAGCAGATCTGCGCCACAGGCGGGGCTTTCGCAGCCAGGACACAGCGCGGGGCCTCCTGGCTGCTTGAGAATAAGCCTTGCAGATTTTACACTGCTTCAGGCGATATTGCTGTGCGCCGCATGTCCTGCAGGCTGTGATAACTTGGGGCGATGCTACCAGTGGGGGCGACTCTCTGGAAGTGTGGGACCAGCTTTCGGATGGCGTCGTCGATTTGAGCCATACGAGCAGCGCCTTCGCTGCCAGGAAGGAGGATGGCTCAGTTGTGTTTGGCCCTTAGTTACTCCATTGCTAAGCAGACATACTTGTCGGGTTCTTGCCCACCCAAATTCTGCCAAGATCGCCTGAGGACATGGGGCAACGAGGAGTTGGGCGGTAACTCATTCGAGCCCTTTGGAATGGATTTGGCTGAGCCTGACTGAAGTTGGCATGTAGCTCTCTGAAAGATAACTTGCCTCAGGCTTTCTTACGAGCTGAATGATGGCGTGGTGCAGCTGTGCGGCAACGGAGGGGCTTTTGCGGCCCGGAAGACAGATGGCACAGCCCCTCGGTTCGCAGCAAGTGGTCATCTTGCCAATGCAGGATGACTGTGCCGTTGCAGGTTGTATGCTGGGGAGATTCGAGCGCTGGTGCCAACGTGAGACTTCAGAACATCACCGACATATGCTGCACTTACCGGGCCTTTGCTGCCGTGAAGGCGGGTGGTTCTGTTCGCATAGCGGACAATCCGGACTCGACTGGGAGAGCACTGTTTGCCTGGCGTTTGCACCTGCTGTTCCTGCGCGCAGGAGAATGGCTCAGTCGTGGCTTGGGGTGATCCGAATTGCGGAGGAGACTGCTCCAAGGTTGCAGCTTCACTGCGGGGAGAAGTGGCTTGGCTTAGCAAACTTGGTGACTTTCCAGCCTGCAGAAGTATTTCTGGCAAACATCCTGTGTAGGTGGTACACCTTTGCGGAACTTTTGGGGCCTTCGCTGCGGTCAAGAAAGACGGGACGGTGGTGACTTGGGGAGATCCGGAGACAGGAGCGGACTCTTCAATGTTGCAGCCTGTCCACGAGCCAGACAGCGATGAGCCGTAAAACAGCATGCTGCGGCCGCAATCCGCACTTCTTTGACACAAGTCTGATTTGTCATCGTAACCCGGGCCATGCAATTTGGGTTTTATTTGCGTCGAGACGGATATTGAACCCTGACTCTTCCGTCAGGTATTCAGTTGATGCAAGCTTCGTTAACAAAGTCCCTGCAATTGGCACTGCAAAATCCTATTGTTTCGCATACCGCAGAAACAATATCAATAAAGGGCCCGATTGACAAGTAGAAACCAAAGCAGTCACATGATGATGGTGATTGTGGCGCGGATGGATTGATGATGATGCTGCTATTCCTTGGAATGTCAACATGGTGATTCAATAAATGGAAGGCCTTAGCAACGAAGTATAGACCCCAGTGCAATGGTAATAGTGATAGGAATAGTTGGAATAGTAACAGCAATAGTAATACTAAAGCAAGTAATTCTACGTGCCTGCCCTTAATTTCAGCAATCTCACTGTTTCATAATTTGGTCGTTTCCGTTTTCTTTTCCATCATTCGCGGATTCCCCTACATACCCATATTACCGGTAAAGCATCCTATATACCCCCACATAACCTCCATGCAATCCTGTTCAACCCCACAGAATCATTTTACAATCGCCCTAGGTAACCCTTACAATACCCCTTTATTATCACCCCACACCGCCCGAATACAATCCTTAAACAATTTCTATAGAACTCACAATATAATCCCTGTGTAACCTTTAAATAACTTCTATAAAACCGATATAATCCATGCATCGTCAAGCTGGGCCTCGCTTTTGAAGGCTGGCATTGACGCCAGCGACCTTTTTCAGAAGCTGGATGTCGCTTGCAACGGCTACCTGAGGCAAACTGGCCAAACCATTGCTATAGGGGCTTCAATAAGTACCAAGGTCATACCAAGGTCATACCAAGTATGGACAAGAAGATGGCAAGGAAAAAGGAACCTATGAGGAGATTTCGGAAAGTCAGGGGCTTTTGGGAGCCGCCTTTAAACGATTATGGCACAATGGGGTCTATGTTAATTCTGGAAACGACCAGACTAGAGGAAATTGTTCCCAGTCCGACTGCACTCTCCGCAGCCTTCCAGGCTATGCATCCGACCAGCTGAAATGGGGGGTGACCAGATATAGACCCCTGCTTTACTAAACTCTGTGGTTATATAGGAACAATGGAAAAGAAAATGGAAACTACTACAGTATACTGGGATATGTAGGGACTACTATAAGGATCCATTCTTTCATTCTTAGCTAACGAAAACCCTAAACCCTAATGAAAGGTAAGTTAGTTCAGCTGCAGGTATGACGAAGTCAGCCTCATGGCTTATGCCTTCGACCCTGAGCTTACAGGACAACAGCTACTTATCTTCAATTCAGTCAGAATGTTTATTATTCTTATTCTTATTACTATCATTGTTACTATTAATAGGAATAGTTCTATTCTTACTATTATTGATATTTTTCTTACTGTTATTACTGTTATAGTCATAGTTGAACTAGCTGGGCACTTGCTCTCACGCGCCTCGCTGGGTCTCAGAAATTCTCATGCCAGTCCCACAAGGAATTTAAGATAGGGCTTAGGGTTAGGCATGAAGTCATAAAGTTCATCCCGGTTTGCTCGTTCCCTTGCAGGTTGGACAACTTGTTTCGGCACTTCGACCCCCGGGGCTGCGGTATGGTGGACGTGGAAGGCACCAACCATGACCGTTTGTGCAGAGAAACCAGTGGCGCGGAAACATTCATACTTGTATCTGAAGAAGGTGCCCTTGCCTCAAGTTGAGCTGATACCCACTGGGCTGTGCAGGCTTTAAGCGGTGTTTGGGCTTTCTCGTGACGGGCGAGGAGCAGAGCAACGTGGATCAGGCTTACCATAACTGCAGGTAGGTCACTCAAATTGAGCTTGGTGTTTTAGCAGAATAGCGCGCTTTGAGCCTAGACACATTCGCATAAAGTAAACGCATTAGTACAGGGTACCATGAAGCCAGGCTGTCCGATCCAGGATTTCGCAGGCTGCATCCTCACTACAGACGAGAGGCAGGGCTTTTTGATTGAGCCCAATTGCCCTGCCCTTGTGCACCAGGTAGCCAGCTTTTTTTAAGTGTACTTCGTCCCCTCCCCCTTAAATTACAGCCCCCCAGCGACTGACAAAAAGATGCTATTACTGGGCGGAGAGGGGTATTCATTACCCAAGGTTCACGCTCCAACTCAAGAGACCACTGCTTTGCAGGATGCAGCGTCCAAGATGCCTTCACCATTTTCGACACCAATCGCCACTTGCTCAAAAGTCTGCGGAAAGTCTTAAACCAAGTGCTGCAGTATGCATAAACATAACACACCAGATCTGGTATATGCGGCCGCTTGCCATGCCAATGTAGGTGAAGCAGTTCATTTGAAGCATGGAGTCGGCAGCGCAGGCAATGGGTTCCTCGATCAGAACGAGTTCTACAGATTCTTGGTGTCCTGCGATTGCAAAGCAGCCCACCTAGCTCCACTCAAGTCCCATGTCGATCGCAGACTCCTGGATGAAACTTCTTCATCTCAGTGTTCGTTGCAAAATGCATAGAACCTTAGGCCATTACGCTTATCAGGTCAGTCAGGTTTAGTAAGGCAAGGAGGTCAGAGATGACAGGCTGAATTTTATGAAAGGCGTTGATGCCCATGCAAGTTGAGTTTGAAGGGGTAGGCGTTGCAACCATGTGCCTAGACTCATCGGTGTCCAAAACACATTTGAAGACCACGCTCCCCATCAAAGTAGTTCACAGCGCCAAAGACTTGCAACAGCTGTTTTCAGCAGGCTGGTATGAATTGGGGGGATACCTGAAGACAACCAGCTCCTCAGTGCAAATCCCACAGACACTACAATGCAGACCCCATCAGCCACTCTGCAAGCAGACCTTAGCCATATTTCTACAGTGAAAGTCGACGATCGTGACCACTTCCTAGAAGCGACACGAACACAGCAAGCCTTCAGGTCAGCCAACGAGAGAGCGATCTGATCTTCGCCGAGGTGCCATCTGCGACCGCTCAATATGGGATTCTGTGCTCATGCTCCTGCCAATGTCGTGCGACAGGTCTCCAGGAACACGGGCCGGGTGGATGTAAATACCTTTGCCCAGGTCGGACCATGTCAGATCACATGAGCATACATGCATCTCGAAGAATCGCCCTTCTTTGCATACTGATCCGTTGCAGCACAAGTTGCCTTCTCGCTCCAAGCGTCTCTTCAGGCCTTTGCCATCAACCCTGGCTCCCTGGCGTGGCTGCCTGAGAGTAAGGGGCTGCTTTGGAGAAAGTGGCAGGCGCTGGAAGATGCGGGCGCGTGTTTGGAGCAAGTTTACGGAATCGCGGGGCAACTGCCTGTGCTTAGGTTCTGATTTGGGAGGGTTCGCAGCGGTGACTACTTCTGTTCAGCATGAGCACGTGCCGCCTCACATTGTCCTGACCCGCTGCGGTTTCGGTGCGGTTGGGTAGTTTGTAGCTTGGCCATGGCACATGTCAAGCGGCCCTTCGGGGTCGAGTGTGCCGAGCCCGCGAGATGTCGCAGTAGCATGCTCTGCGGCTTTCAGAGGCAGCGTGCCTACGACAGCAGCGGCTCAGGACATTTGCCAAAACCTACAACCCTGTCAGGCTGTACCTTTCCGAGCCTGAGATAGATGTGATCCTGAGGAGTGTCGGCCCAGACTTTCTCAAGATGTCCACAGCAGCTTCTATCATGCCGCCTTCGGGGCCGCCACAGAGAAGCTGGAGGCTTTCGATGCCCAGGGCCTTGCCAACCTTGCCTGGGCAGTGGCTGCGCTCAGAGCCCCACACTGCGCCCGGCCGTTGCTGTCGGGCATCCGAGAAGCAGCGGCCTGGTAAAAGGCGCTTTGTAACCTTACAGTTCAAGACCTAAGAGGGAATTGCTGTTTCAGGCAGATTGTGCATAGTGCGGCTGCCACGTGGCCACCCAGGCTAGAGATGTAGTTGGACGACGCGCCGCCTCGGTAAGCCTGCCATCAGAGGCAAGGACGCTGGCATTTAGCCTATTGGCCCTCACGTGGGCTTTGAGCTTCAGCAAGGAGCTGGACTCAAATCTGGAGGACCTTATTTGGCATGCCCTGTCGGAGATGGCCAGAGTCCTGGACACAGGAACGAGGTTCTGCGAGGCGGTGAGGCGAGCACAGCCTACAACCCGAGATGTGGACATCCCTCTTCCACAAGCACTTGTCGACAGCCCCGGCATCACAGTGGGCAGTCAGTGAAAACTTTTTTCGGCACACGCAGCACAGCACATCATGATGGATGTTCAATACGTCCCGGACGTTGCTGCAGGTATGCTGGTTGTCCTGAAGCCGCCTGGGTGGGAGGTAGACACATCCATGGATCAAACAGATGCCTACTGCCTCTCGACTCACCTGCAAGCGCTCCGAACTATGCAGGACGCACCTGTAAGTGTCCTGTATCTCCGGATGCGCTGGCTTTCTGGTTCAAAATGAAAGGGTACTGTACGCCAAAAACAAGAGGCCACTGCCCCTCCATTCCACATTGTAGAGCCCTCTAAGTGCTTAAGCAAACGTTCATCCTCGCAGGACTCTCCGGTGCTCCATTTGTACAGCTATGGTTTCGGATTCATCCACAGATTGGACGTCGCCAGTCCCTCTGCTGCATGCAAGTGGCTATGCACGGCTCGAGCTTCAAAACGGAGAATATTTTTCGCGGCAGAGACCAGCAAGGCTTTGCGTGCTTCCTGAGCACAACCGAGGTTCCGGGTTGGTGCTAGCAGCCACCACCTTTCAGGGCCTGCTGCGGCTGAATCTTCGCAGCATTTGGGAAGCGTTTCTTCTGAGCGCTGACTGGTTTAAGCAAACAATTAAGCAGCGCTTGTAAAACTAGACTACGTCATTTGATTTTGTTCAACCACAAACAAAAAACTGCACGATTATGGCATGGGATTGCTGCAGGCAACTGCAAAAGGCTCTCAATCGAATTGACAGTCGCCTGGCACGAATTCATAGATCACAAGCCGTTTGTCTTGACTCAGAAGCACTTCCTGCAGGAGAGTATATTGTGTTGTGCTACGGGCTGGACCCTCATCCAAAGCACGCGGTGGATGTGGATGTCACAGTGAAGGGGTGGTTGAAGGCTTCCAGGACGGCGAGCGCTGTCTTGTGGCGCTGATCCTGCTGTCTCAAGTCTCATCTTCAAATTGCGGGAAGACCGTGTGAAAAGCTTTCGTACTGGCAGGACTCTCACAGATGACACGGGCCTCCCAGCAGAATCCAGGCTATGCTCGGTTGCGCACTTGCGGCATCCTATGCCAAGTTGCCCCGTAGCTAGCATTTCAGATCGTTCAGGAATGCGGTGCTGTAACAAAGTTATGAGCAAGCATGTTGTACCTGAGGTATGTCTGCAGTTGCCATTCAGATCTTCACAGGGCGTAGACATCAAATTCGCGCTCACACTCGCTCGATCAGGCGAGCTTTGCTGTTCAATGGATGTTTGGGAATGCAGCCAGATGCCCTCCAAGTCTGTACAGGCTCACTGGATTCAGCTGCATCTCTGCGAGGCATCCAACAGTGTGTGATGCCTGGTACGCCCCGAGTGACGTTTACTTGGTGGAGCGTGAGCTGCTTGGGCCAGCGCCCATGCGAGCTTGGGTGCGCACTCCAAGGCTCACAGTGAACCAAGGAAGCGTGACATATTCTCACCAATCACGTATTCTGCCTTGGCGCTTGCCCATGAAAGTACTTGGTACCGTGGTTTCTCAACCATAAGATCAGATCCGCAGGTGGGATGGCCAGCTGACGGCTCCACCGGAGGACGTGGCATCAGCTTTGTACTGTCGATGGTGTATGTGCATTTGATCTTCTTGCACAAGGACATGCAGAGCAGATGCAGCTGGCAAGAGGTAAGTTGAGCGGCACAGTCAGCGACCGCAGCTTGCGATACGAGATTTGGCAAGATGATGCCATCGGAATAAGCTGATGACTTCCACATGCTGCCTGCACAAGTAGGCTTCAGCTGGTCAAAGCTGCAGACAGCTCAGAATTGCAGAGGGCAAAGCCCAACATGGCTAGTCCTGCCAGTCAAAAACACAGAGAATCGTGTCAATGTGGAACCGCGAAAATGCACATGGCCTCCTGGACTGGTCTGCAAAGCGATGCAGCTTCACCAGCTTGGTTGGTAACATGTGACAGGACAGAAGCGCTGCAAAGCAAAGCGAATGTTGCAAAATCTTGGACTGGACCACACCGGTTTTTGGATTCACTCTGAGGCGCGCCCCGCCGCGAAAACCGCTGCAGGCCAGTTGCCTGTCCTTGCTGCCTAACAGCGAGCCACGATGTCAACCGGCAGGTCGACCAGCGCCGGCAGATGCAAGCAGCACAAGTCTGCAACTGGCAATGTGCCAAGATGCAAAGTCAGGGCTCACCCACGTGAAAGCCTGCCCTGCCCGAGGCTTGAGCCAGCCATGCTATCGCACCTGCTACAACTCAGCGGCCGCTGGCTGCTCATTGTCCTCCGAAGGTTAAATGTCAAGACATGTCTAGAAATGTCTAGAGTAGATTAAAGTTTTTGAGAAGCAGCTATAAGCAGATGTGACGCCTAGATATCGAGAGATGTGGGCACAGATGCAAGTCCTCTTTGGCAGCGTAAGGGGCAAAGAAAACCCGGCTTGATAGGAAGTTTGATTTTTTGTGGCCGCCCAGGCGATCGCATCACTCGGACAGAGTTCGAGCGCATGGCTGCTTCCTGAGGATTGGGAGTTCTAAGCGCATACGTGCACATTCACTTGCATCTGGAGAACCTGGTGAAATTTAAGGAATCTCTAGAGTGCTTGATCACCAACCATCAAGTCATGCCAGACGCATGAATGTCCGTTGCATAACATACAGCAGGCTGAGCAATTGTCAGCAGCTTTTGGCGATCAGACCTTCATAGCGGCGGTGACGGTACAGTAAGTAGTCAACAAGTACACGCCTCATGTCGGAATGTTATTTGCGATGTCAGAACGTGCCAGTAGTGAGGTCCTGCAAGAGAACATGGAGCGGCTTGATCTAGGTAAGCTGTATGCACTACACATTCGCGACAGGATCTCTGAGCCAGAGCATGCACAGATACCCACGACACTGCAAAACCATCACTTATAGCTCCGCCTGTACTTCACCAAAGAGTCTCAGTGCACGGAGATTACATGTCAAGATTTCAATCTTGGTCCTGAAGTCTTCGAAAAGCAAGCTAAACCCAAGGGATGTGAAGCGGCATTGCTGATCGTCACCCTGGTGCCAGGAAACTTCAAAGTAAAGCCTCCAACCTTACCCCTCGGTAAAGTTTGTCAAGATGCAAATAATTTAGGTCCTGAAGATGGAGCTACTCGTTTTTTGAATGCTGATACTAAAGATCCTGCGCATCCCAAAGAACGCTACACGCTGCAACATGACTAGCATCCCTAAGCTCATTCCCAAGTACTGATGATAGTAGTGATAATAATCATGGTGATGATGTGGGTACTGCCCCCACCCAGTAACAGTAACAGCATTCAGTAGTGGTAATATTCAGGGCTTTGTATGACTATGACATCAATATTATCCTGTTGCTGAGTGGATCAGGACCTAAGTGATGATAGTACTAACAGCGCAAAAATAGTAATGACAACAATCTGCAGGTCCACATGCTGGAGCCACAGCTCGCGAGTCCTGAAGTGGAGCGCCTGTGGAGGACGCGGGGAAGATTGCTGCGGAATTGACCGCAATCACATGGATATTTCTGAGCAAACGTCAGGTTTTTTTAGGGCCCTCCTCTCTTCAGAAACCCCAAGTGATTCGTAAGGTTAGTCTTTCAATATGGGTAACCAAAGAGAGATTGACTAGCTAGTGAGAAGCATCAGCCCTTCCTGCCGCCTCTATTGGTGTTCACGGTATGTGTGGTCCTGCAAGCTGAAACCTCAAATCCAACACGGTGTGGTCAGGGTGCATCAAGGTTCAGGGATGTCAAGGCTTCGGATACGAGGCTTCGATGTTTGTTTGGTGCTTATGGCTTGTTCTGAGGATTCTCGGCTTGACGTGTGAGGTTCAGGAGTTTGGATTTGGGAGTTGCTTGAAGTCTGCTGAGCTTCGAGGTGTGTTTCTGCGTGTCGGGGCGTGAAATTACCAAGCGCAGCCAGGACTTCAGGTTGAACTGATGGCCAGGCTTTGGCTCCAAGCTGTAATGTGCGTAGGTTGTTGACGTTTGGTGCCTCCGAGGACAGAGGGTTACAACCCTTACCTCAGTCTCACAGTGGAATGGTGGGCAGGAACCAACAAAGGTGGTAGTTCATTGGCAGCTTAGATTCACATGTGGAGTTGCTGTCGACTCCCTGAACTGACTGTGGAGGTTGACACGAACGTCACTGATTCCATGGTTCGCATTTTCCTCAAACTTCCTGGTTGGGATAAACTCCTATCTGTTGCACAGCGAGCCAGATGAGGACAAAGCTGGAGAGAAAAACAAGCAGGCCCACACCTGAATCCAGCAAAAGTGCTTCAGGTTCTCAGAAATGTTTTCTTCTCGAGCTGAGATTTCCCCCAGACACTTCAAAAAGAAGGTGTTTTAAAAAAGTCTAGCAAGAAGGAACCCAAAACATTGCATGGGGTTTCCATAAAAAGCGGGCCCCAAACAGAACCCAACATGTCATAATCCTGATAACAGAGACTCCAAAGAGGGGCCCCTGATATTTGGAAACTCTAATCCTATAATCCACTGTATCATCGCAATTTCAATTGTGTTTTGCATGTGATTCTTCATCTGCTTCTCCATTATTGGCTTAGAAATTACACCCCACAAAACCCCTCTGCAATCTTTATACCCGTATGGTAGTTTCCCAAAACAAGGGGGACCCCAATGTAGAATCCTTATTATGGGACCCCCAAAAAGGTACGGGAAACCCGCATATAACCCCTCTCTAACCTGTACCCTAAACCCTAAACCCTACACAAGCCAGGCTGCAAGGCCCAGGGCCAGAGATAAGCTTGGCGCAGCTGATTCACTTCGACCCCCCGCCGCTGGGGCAGCGATTACTTGGTGCTTGTCTATATAGTCCCCCTTAAGTAGATAGAATATGGCTTTGGGTATATTATAATACGATCCCCATATACCCCATATTCTATCTACTTAAGGGGGACTATATTCCCTGACAAGCAAGCCCGCGACCCCAATAATGATCAATATCTCATCTAATACACAATAGGGAGGATGTTATTGAGAAGAAGGGAGATTATTCTTCGGTGTCACGGATTGAACAGTATTGGCAGAGCATGATTAAGATGAAGAGCATTTGTGGCTAAGAAAGGATGTCTGACAAGCATCATTTTTGTGGTCGCATGGAAAGCACTGCTTGAAAATCTGTAATAAATTGGCATCGGCATTTTTTGCATTAGTACGAACGGCTCTTGCCCTTGACTGCAAGTGAGGATACCCTACAGATATTGCTTGTCATGCCAAGCGTTCCACATCTTGAAGTATTGTCAAACCCCACATCATGTGCTTGCTGTGGCTGCGCGCGTGTTGCAACTCAATCTTGAGCCCTGAAGCCTGAATCCTTCAGACCTTACACTCTTTAGATCCTCCAAAGCATCTCCGCGGCACTTACTTGGAAGGAAGGGAACGGAATGCCGGCAAGCAGAAGCGTGACGATGTGATCGGGTTGGAAAATAAAGCCAGAGAAGTCCAAAGCGCTGCACACTACAAAGAGCGTTACATACCCGAGTCCAAATCTCAAGCTGAGCTCAAGAGAAACCAGCTGCAGAAGTGAGGCAGCCACTTTCAAGAGGTGAATCGCTGCATCTCTTTGCCCACAAACCCTCGGAAGCTAGGCAATGAAAGAGCAGCCTTCAGCACTCACTGCCGTCGGCTTTACATACAGTAAATTCGTTACGTCACCCAGTGCTTCATGGTTTACGGCATTGTAGCCCTGATGCTATGACCAGCTTGAAAACATGTAAGCCCGTCCTTGCTGCTATCACATTCAGGTCAGGGACTGATTCGTGGGCCGAAGCATGTCTTCGCCGCGTGGCACGTTCCTCAAGAAAGGACTCGTATTGGGGTTTGAATAAATTAGTGTCTCTTTTGTTGTGTGCTTATACTAAGGATTACAGTGTACTGATGTCATTTGTGGGCTCCCTCTTTATATGGAAACTCCCATACAAGCAGCCCTGGGCCCCTGCAAGGATGAGGCATCTTATATCGGCTGCTGTCGGTGTTCAGTTCAAGTTGAAGTCATTGCTCACCCAAAATGCTCTGAAGATCATAGCCGGTGCAATCAGTGCATACACGATCATCCATTCTCACAAGTATCAGCGCAGAACAGTGAACAGTCACGAATTTAGCCGCAGGAATTGTACCCAGAATACATCCTGACAAAATAGCAAACCAAATGTTGGAAATCAGTGAGGTCATATCACAGCTAGCCCTGCTCATGGGCACCCATGTTTATTTTTTGTTGAAGCCCGCAACCCTCAATTTGCCTTGAACCTCAGCGTATCCCTGTACGATCTGCTTACGATCCTACAAGCCCGCTTTAAGTGCAACTCAGGAACCTCGAGTAGCAGTTATGCTGAGGCACGGCGCTTGGCACCGGCCCTCAGCACACCGGCCGACACCTTTCGAAGGCAGCCGGCTCTGCAGTCCCAAGACTTGTGACAACAGTATCGCTTCTTTGTTTGCGCAATAGTCACCGCAACATTGATTTATTTGCATGGATTGAAGAGGGCCTTAAAGAGTGTGGGGTAAGGAGCAGATG